CCAGCTAGCCGTTTCTACAGCTGAACTTGAAGAGACTGAAACTAGTGACAATGCAGATGAGAGAGCTGTTGGAGGCACCACTTTTCAGACACCTAAAAGAAAGAGGGGACGAAAAACTGTTGTTACTCCAGAACTCGCTACAGCTCTAGATCGAACAAAAATGTCAGACCGCAAGGCTGTTTTTGTTATAGCAGAAACTATTAAAAGCTTAAAACAGAATATCAATGAATTTGCTCTTAACAGAGGCTCAATTTGCCGACACAGATTGGAACACAGAGTCCAGAGATCTGCAAATATAAAAGCCAAGTTTCGGGATAACGTTCCTCTTGTTGTTTACTGGGACGGCAAACTGATTCCTGATCTACTTGGAAAAGAGAAAGTTGATGGCCTGCCCGTATTGGTTTCAGGAAAAGGAGTCTCTCAGCTACTCACAGTTGCCAAGCTTCCTTCTGGAACAGGCAAGGCACAGGCTGCTGCCGTTTTTGGAGCCATTAAAAACTGGGGCATAGGCGACAGCATCCGTGCAATGTGTTTTGACACGACCAGCTCAAATACTGGTCGGCTTGCTGGTGTCTGTGTTCTCCTAGAACAGAAACTTGAGAAAGAGCTCTTATCACTGGCTTGTAGGCATCACATTATGGAACTGATAATTGGTGCAGTGTTCCAAGTGTGTATGGGAGCAACATCTTGTCCAGAAGTTCCACTATTCAAACGTTTCCAGCAATACTGGGGTTTCATAGATACGGCTTATTATGAGCCAGGGATTGCAACTGATGATGTCGAACGTCTCGTGGCTGACATAAAACAAGACACTATTGATTATGCCAACAAGCATCTTGAACAGAGTCAGTCGAGGAATGATTATAAAGAATTTTTGGAACTTGTGATTATTTTTCTTGGTGCTGTTCCTGCCAGAGGTGTGCGATTCATGTCACCTGGAGCAATGCACCATGCCCGCTGGATGGTCAGAGTCATATACAGTCTCAAGATCTGGATGTTTAAGGCTCAATTTAAATTGACTCCTGCTGAAGTGAGAGGATTACATGACGTGTGTGTATTCACAGTACGTGTCTACCTGAAAGCCTGGATATCTGCACCTCAAGCGTCAGGTGCTCCTTATAATGATCTGCTGCTGAAGTCACTGATTGAATATTCATCAATCCATTCAGCGATCTCGAAGTCAACATTACGCAAGTTTTCCAATCAATTTTGGTTATTTGTCACAGGAACTTGTTAGCTTGGCTTTCTTCGACAGTCGGGTCAGTTCATCAACCAAGAGACTGATGGTGAGTGCAATGCAAAATGAAGAAGACCAAGATCAGGATCATTCGATGAAACACAGCTGCAATTCCTGCTGCAAGTCGTAGAAGACCATTGCAGAATGTACCCTGATAGCAGGAAACAAACTCTGTTTGGGCTGCCGAAACCATGAATTTAAAACAATAATTCCTGAGTTTGCTCTGGACATTGTCAGGCTGATACCCTAAACTGTAAAAACTGAGCTTAGAACTCATATTTAATGTGTTTAAAAATGTTAATTGTGTTGTTTAAAATATATAGATTAGACTCGATTCTCGTATAATTTTTGTAATATTGGAGGCACTTGAGCTACCCCTAAAAATAATTATTTCTTAGCCAAACTTTTTATGCAGTGTTTCTATGTTATATGGAACAGATTTGGGGGGTAAGACTTTAAAAAATACAAATTTTATTTTAATTGATCATAAATCTTTATCTTTTTGCTTCGTTCTTGTAGGATATACTTTTGTAAATATGTATTATTTTTAACCAGAGATTTTTTAAAGATTTTCACAATCTTTCTCACTTTTCTAATCAGATCTTTGTAATTGCTAATTCAGCAGATGGTTGATCCAAAATTATTGTCAAACCGCAGTCTTCTGGCATTTCACTTCATTTCCATCAGTGGTATTTTGTTGATTGTTGTATTTTGTTTACAACTAAAAGTAGTAAAAAAAAATTATTTTAAGAATTTACTGTGCAAGTTATATTGTGATTGCTAAAAATGTAAATAAGTTCTATATTTATTCAGGCAGGTTAAACTCCATATTTAGTAGAGGCATCACTTACTAAGACACCTCAAATAGCTGCTTAAATTTAGTTTAGTATATTTACAATTAAACAAGTTATCAACTTTTATGAAAGTACCGTAAAGTAAGGTGACTTAATACTTTCCAGGTTTCTCCAAATGGCAGCAAACCTCTTAATGACTCATATTAGGTAATTATTTTTTAATCAATAATAGGCAAATTTTTTCCATTATCTTGGCTTTCAGGATTATTTAAAATTTTCTTTTAAGTTTTTTATGTCCCTATAAGCCGAGAATGTTACTACAGACAGAGAAGCTACATAATTTTAGTTACAACCCTCTTTTATTTCTATAACTCTAAAACACAAACCTTAACAAACAAGGCTGCTGCACGGAGAAACAAGTTGAGTTCTTTTTTGCAATACTCATCTTGTTTCTCCAAAGTATTGCAGTTCCTGCAAATTCCAAGTATTGCAGTTCCTGCAAACATAACAGATGTTCAGCTCATTATCTGTTATGTTTGCAGGAAAGATACTAACTCCATACATAGTGTTTAAGACTAAACTATGCGGTAGTGGTGTAGTGGTAGAGCGCTCGCTTCATAAACAAGTGGTTCCGAGTTCGATCCCCACCACGTCCCTGGTAGTACTGCGCTCAACTCATTTCTCCGCATAGCAGCCTTGTTTGTCAAGGTTCGTGTTTCGGAGTTATAGAGTTGAGAGAGGGTTGTAACCACAAATAGGTAGCCTCCTCGTCTGTAGTGGCCTTCTCAGCCTTGAGGAGGTGAATTAAATAATAATAATAATAAAAAAAAAAAATATGTGGGACTCATGGTACAATGGTGGACTACAAAGTACAAGGTATAACTGCTCAAATTCTGAGATTAGTGTTTAAAATGTATGTGACTTTTCTGTCAAGTTTCTGTAGGTTTGTATTAATTTTATATTTGGCCTCGAGAAGATGATTTTTTTTGATATTGTTTTTTGTTCCATTGTTGCAGTTTTTGAACTTACTTTTGGTTTACTCTGTAAACTGTAGTACCTATCTAGGTATTTTATATTTCCTGAATTTTCAGTTTCAACATGATTAAACATTTGTCAAAGATGACTTGCTTTTTTATTTTTTATTTCCTAGTTTTTGTTTATAATTACAATAAAAACAGTTTTTTGAAACCAGAAAACTATGTAAATGTCCAGAATAGAGCTTTTAATATGCACTACTATGAGTTTAAGTGATGTGTGTAAAGTTACTCTGACCTTATGAGGTTGTTTAACACATTCTTAAAGTTTTAAAAAAACATGGTCTATGAAACTTTAATATTTTTTACTTATCATAAGTATCATAAACTTTTTACTATAAGGTAAATTTGTGCCAAATTTGAATGGATAATAGTTAGTAACCTTGTAGATATTCAATAAAAGGTGAAAAAACTGTTAAGTTCCCCATTTTATGGTACTTAGATTAGCATAATTCCTCACATATTAGAACTATATCACATTTAAGGACTAGTTTTGTTGCTCTTTGTTTAGACATTGTAAGATGGTTAAGTTTTAGTGTAGTTTCTATGCACCAATTTGCATTTTACATGAATAAAATATAAGGTTATTAGGGCAATATTTGTCCAGGTCTCATGAAAGCTATTTTTAAGGGTGTAATGGCCCCAGAGGCTATGCGATTCATTCACAGGCACTCTGAATGAATCACACAAATTTCACTTTTTATCTAAATATAGGGCTTTTACCAATTTTTATTTTTTTCTATATTCTGAAAAAAATATTTTTGTATTAACTATATTTATGTTTGTTATGTATAAGAATTTTTCCCGGCCTTTTTAATGTTTAGATGAAAAAGCTTGTGGATAAAATAAAATTGATTGCATTTTAATAGTTTTTTAAATTTTACATTGTAATGTTTAGTATTTTATTGTAAACACATCAGAAAAACAATCTTCACCAATGGTTGTTTTTCTGATAATTATTCTAGAATTGTAACATTTTTTAAAAAAAGTGTATAAAAGAAAAGTTGCATTTTACCAAAATTTCTTAAACCCTTTTATAATATATAAAGATAGTCTTTTAAAATTGTTTTTGAGTTAAGTAATTCAAATTTAAACAAACAAATTTTTATTACTGTTTATTAAAAAAAATTAATTTAAGTTTAAATAAGCGTATATCTATTATTTTCACTTTGAATAAGTTGTATTTTAGATACTAAGTTATAAAATTTAAGCTTTTTGAAAAATGTTAAAGCTCTTTAGTTCTTTGTTGTTGTTTTTTTATTGATTTTTTAATAGGTTTACAAATGAAGTTCTTATACTAGTCATTAGAACATATCGAATTTATTTAAAAATAATTTAAAAAAAAACATTTAAAAAAAATCTTTAAATAAACTTTTTTTTTTACCTAAAGACACAAAAGTGAATAAAAAATAACATTTTTTTGCTTTTTTTTTTTTTGTATATTTATAGTAAAGTTTTTTCTAGTATTTCTTTATAAGTGTACTGGTTGATTGCCTGCTTATTGTGATGAATATAAAAAGGGCTTATTCCACGGGGGCTGATGCAACAAGAAACTAAGAGCTTGTTCTCATACTACTTGTTGAAGTAATTTTTTATTTTAAATGCACTAGATGTTTAAAATAAAATTGAATTAAAATTTAAAAAAACTATTTTTGTTTATATAAACAAAATTTTTTTGTACTATTTTTGTTTACATATACAAAAATAGTTTTTACTATGTTTGTTTATGTAAAATGACTAAACTTAAAAATGCTTTTAATCCTTTGCTTGGTTGCTTTGAAAGGAATTTTCAAAGCAACCAAGCAAAGGATTATAAAGCTAACATTAAAAATTGATTAAGAGTTTATTTAAAATAAATAGCATACGATTTAATATTGATAAATAAAATTTTAAAAAACAAGTTTTAAGTCAACTTATTTTCAAAAAAATTTTTAGTCATCGAAAAAAAAAGATAAAGCAACTTCAAAAGAAGGTAAAAAGTGGATCGTTAGATGTAAAGAAAGATGATCCATTTGAACTATTCATTACAGCAACAACTATTAGATATTGCTTTTATGGAGAGACACATAAGATTCTTGGTAACACATATGGGATGTTAATTTTACAGGTAATCAATTTAAAAATTTCAAACCCAATTTTTTATTCAGGAAGTATGGATATACGTGTATTTATGTAAGTGATATGATAGCACATGTAGCTGATATTCAGTCAAAAATGTGTTATTGCTTTGAGATTTATTATTATTATTATCCTGTACATGATTATATACTGAATAGTAATTTTTTATAATATTTAACTTTGTTTTTATTTTATTAAATATTTTAAATTACTAAATAATACTAAATATATAGTTATTTGTTATTATTACATATTTAAATGTTATTAATAACTTTAATAATGATAATAGTAATAATAATAATAATAGTAATATTAATAGTAATAATAATAACAATAATAATAATAATAATAATAATAATTTAGTTTGTTATTTTTGTCAGAAAAACTAGTCTCAGATAATATTAGCAAAAAAATTGAAATCTAAATTTTAAAGAGCACAAAAAAAATGTTGCAGTTTAAAATAAAAATAAATGAAATAAAATTACTTGTCTTGTAGTTAATCTTTTCCTCTTTTTATTTTTTGTAATTTTTATTTAACTCTTTGAAAAATAAACTATTTTGTTCTTTAAATTTTTTTAAATGTTTCTCAATTTTTGAGAAAAAAAAAAGTTGCACATTTTTGAACAAAAATTTTGATTTAACTTTTAAAAATAAAAAAGGGATTTAGCAAAATTAGGTTAGCACTGTTGGAGTCTAAACCATAAAAGTGATCTGTCCTAATTAGGGGTGTCTAAAATAAGCTATCCGGCTGGATATCCTGATCAGGTAGAAGTATTTTTTGGTATCCAATATCTGGCCGGATAATAATTTTATCCGGGTATATATTGGATATTTCATGTTAATGTCATTTGAAAATTGAAAGAAATTTTGAAATGTTATATTTTAAAATAATCTTGTGTTAATGGTTTTTATCTGGATAGTGCCTGCCCACACCCTCCGGATGTATGTATCTCCGTATGACATCAACAGTATGACATTATTGGTGATGTTTCATGTGAGGTTAAATACGCAAAGATTTGTACCTGTATACATATATATATATATATATATATATATATATATATATATATATATATATATATATATATATATATACATATACAGGGCATGACAAATTGCTTTATTTTTAATGAAGATCAACGTTTGTATCTTTATTTATTGGTGAATGTCTATTTTAAGATATATATATTTCTTAAATAAGATGTTTGCTAATAAATATGACATATGTCAAATGTGGGAGTTTTATTTTCAGATAACTTTTATTCTAGTCAATAAGTTATTAGATTTATCAAAGATTCTTATTGAATTTAATCAGTTTTTTTTTTTTCAAAACAATTTTTTACGCTTTTGCAAAGTGCGCGCAATCTAGTTGCGCAAATAGTACGCAAAGATCAACTTTTACAAAATAGTGAATTTTTCTTGTTAAATTTATTAGGCCGGGTAATCATGTTTTAGCATGGTTTCTAAATATTTAAAACGCATTTTAAGTTTTAGTAACTAATTGTTTTTAATAATAAGTATGTGTTTTTTATAATAAATAGTAAGTGATAGTATCATAATTATTTGGAAAAAAAAATTGCTGAAGTAATGCATTTGTTTTTAAAAATTTTGAGCAAACCCCAATGTTTGCTTAAGCAAAAGTAAAGAAATGTGATGTTTGTTTTTCAACAAATATTCACATGTTTATATATATATATATATATATATATATATATATATATATATATATATATATATATATATATATATATATATATATATATATGTTTGTGTGTGAAGGTGGTTAGGTGTGGGCGTGTATACTCAAAATTCTGTTAAACTTTTGTGTTTTATAAAAAAAAAAATTAAAATTCAAAAAAGAATTTTCATCATGGTGTAATATACTTTGTAATATACTTTCAAAACCATTTTTTTATAGATTCATTTTTTATGTTGCTTTATGTTGTTATTTTTGTGAACAACATAAAAAGTGTAAAAAGATACACTTTTTATGTTGTTCACAAAATTTGTTTTATCAATGAAATAAGTATTCATTGTTTCAAATTTTATGTATTGACCAATACTTAAAACAGTTACAATGTTTAATGATTAACAGTTTAATAACTGTTAACCAATTATTAAATTTTTAACCACACATTAACAATAATTTATATAGTTTTTAATAAATGTATTAAAAACTTCCTTAAATATTTCATTTATTATCTTTTTAATTTATTTATCTATACATTAATTGTAATTATTAAAAAATAGGATTTTGAAGCACTTACACCAAATTTACTAGCTCGCACCATTGAAACTGTTGAGGGTGGAGGGCTTATATGTGTTTTACTGCAAAATGTTGACTCACTTAAAAAGCTCTACACTATGACCATGGTAAGATATAAAATTTGTTCATGTTAAAATATAAAAGTTATGGAAATTTTTGAAATTTATATATTAATTTTAAAATCATAACATTGCTAATTTTAGTTTTTAATGATGTGCATTGTTATTATTATTTTTTTTTAAATTAAGGATGTGCATTCCAGATATAGAACAGAATCTCATCAAGATGTAGTTGGTCGATTCAACGAGCGGTGAGTTTTAAATTTTTTTAAATGGTCATCCTCTTTGTCCTTTTTAATGAGCAGTTGTTGTTTTTTTAAATAGTTTTTTTTATGCTTTTTTTTTATCAGATAAGCATTTTAATCACAGCCTTTTTAAAACTGTAAATTTAAGCTTTAGATCTTCAATAATACTGTTAACAATACCATTTGTATTTAAACAATTCTTTATTGGTTTAAAAAATTTCTGTTTAAACAAAGTTGTTGGTGGTTTAAAAAGTTTTTCCATAAATTTTTCATAAAATTTTAGAAGTTTTTTAAGAATATTTCAAAGAATAGGTTCTTTGTTATAAAATTTAAGAGCAGGTTATTTGTTATAAAATTGAAAAACAGGTTATTTGTTATAAAAGTTAGAGCAAAAAAATTCTATAACCTATAAAAAAAATTCCATATGAGTGAAATGTTTGAAAAATAAAAAAATTTGTAAGCGATTGCAATATCTAATAAAAAATGCAAAATAAAATTTCAAATGCTGCTTATTTCAGTTTTTTTTTTTAATTTTGTTGTTCAAATAAAGAGTTATCCTTTTTTTATAATTAAATTTCCCAACAAGGTTTTCAATAACAAATTATTTTTATAATTAATTTCTCAACAAGGTTTTCCTAATATTTAAGTTGGGAGTTTACAGTGACTTTGACCTTGTCCCAAAAAAAGAGGGCCTTAGAAACAGCCCAAATATGACAGCATTATTCCATACAAACACAAATAAGAGATTTATAGAGATAAAGTTTGGATTTAGGATAAAAACATGATAAAAAGAGGCGATCTTAACTAACTTTGCAATGAATTATTTATATGGTTTACAAGGGAGTTCAGTTCAGTTACTGAATGATATTTCTAGGGGAGATAAAGTAAAAGACTCAGTATGAGTGTGCCATTCATCAATATACAAAAATCACAATATAGCAATAATTATTATCAGTAAGCAACTGAAATTTGTTTGGGTTAAAATTCACTCATACACTGCAGCCTTTTGTGGAGACTTTTTGTTGAGACTGTGATATGTAGTTGTCATCAGCAAATACATCTGAATTAACTTACTAATTAAGTCAGGCAATAATAAAATATGTGTTTTGGTATGAGAATTGAAAAGCAGTTTAAAACTAAAATTTATGTTTTTTGTAATTTAATATTTTTTTTTTAACATAGAGATAGGCATTGAGAGTAACTTACTTGACCCTTAAAAAGTTTTGCAAATATTTTATTTTTGATTCTATAATTTGGTTAAGTATTAGGGAGGCAAACCAATGGTTTACTTGTTTTCAATAGACCTAAGATAAAATAATAATTTAATTTTTTAATGGGTTTTAGATGACAATTTCGATTTTAGCTTCAAAAATAAATTTTTTGGAATTAAATAACTAAGGCAGCTCTTAAGTTTATCCCAGAGTGCTATTTTTTTCCCCATAAAAAGTCCCCAGAGTCCTATTTTTGAATTTCTTATGCAAAAATCTATTTGGGTTACAAATTGAAAAATAAAAACTCTAAACTATTATCAAGATATATCTCAAATTACTTAGCTATTTTTCCAGATTATTACTAAAATGCTGAACCAGCATTTGTGTAATAATCTTGTGTGTATTTTTAGTTAATAATTTTACCATGATCAGTTATATGGGTTGCATAAAAAAGTAAAAATAAGCCAATTCTAAGACAGCTTGTAGTGGCTGGTGAATTTATTCAATTGGACTCAATTTACATTGATTCAAGTCTTCTGTCAATTTTTAACTTATTACTTTTAGTCTTTATTTATTACTCTTTGCAATTTTTTTTGTTAAAGTAATTACCTTCTTTACATATTGATAAGTGAAAAAAAAAAAAGTTAAAAAAGTGTTTCCAACGTGATTGCTACTCACTCTATATTACTTTATATGAATAATCACAACACAATGTACACAAATAATAATATATAACTGTACATTATGTACTGTTCACAACACAATATACACAATTAATAGTACACAACTGTACATTATGTACTGTTCACAACAAAATAAACACAATTAATAGTACACAACTGTACATTCGCTGTACTGTTCACAACACAATGTACACAATTAATAGTACACAACTGTACATTAGGTACTGTACAGTTGTGTACTATAAATTGTGTACATTGTGTTGTGAACTATCAAGTCATTAGTCATCAAAACAATACAGTCATCAAAACAATACAGTTATAAAATATTTGATTGAATGAATGAGTGTATGTACAGTATCAGACAAAACAAGTAATAATGCTAATTTAGTTTCTTTATATAAAAGTGCTGCTTTTTTCAATTTAGAGAAATAACTATGTAATTGTTTAGAGACAACGTTCTTCAAGTTTTATTCATCACAAAGTTCATTATTTGTACACGAAAATTAATAAATTAATCAAAAGTATTAAAAAAAGTTGATTTCCTTCTGGACAAAACAAGTACAACTCCACAAAATGTTGACCAAACTGTATTACGCTATCAATACTTTGTGGCGAATCCTTTGTTGTCGATGACAGCCTTGCATCTTCGAGGCATAGATTCCATCAGGTAATCAATGAAACTTTGTGGAATCACTGCCCAGGCCTTTTGGATTTGTTCAAACAGTTGATCCTTATTACCTTGAAATCCGGAGATTGAGGCGGCTAATCCATCACCAATAGGTGGTTGTCTTGAAACCACTGCTTGACTACTTTTGCAGTGTGTTTCAGATCGTTCTCTTGCTGAAAAACCCATTTTATTGGCATATTCCATTCAGCATGAGGTAACATAACATCTTTCAGGATATTTTTATACATGAAACGGTCTATTATTCCATCGTTTCGATATATTGGACCTAGACCGTTAGCAGACCATAACATTGTCTCCACCATGCTTCACGGTCTTATGGCAGTAACGTAAATCGAGGCGTTTTCTGGCGGGTCGTACACGACAAATGCCATCGCTCCCAATGATGTTGAACTTTGATTCATTACTGAGCAGAACAGTTTGCCATTTCTGCACATTCCAGTCAATATGAGATGTAGCAAACAGGTGTCTTTTCTTCTGGTTCTTTAGTGAAATCAGCGGTTTCTTTGCAGGGCGTCGATCACAATCCGGCTTCAACGTTGTCTGATTGTTCGGTCCGATACAGGCAGCACTAATTGCTTTTGTATCTTGACTGATGATATCCAGGGATCCTTCTTGACGCATCTGACGGTCATAGAATCCTCTCTAGAAGTGGTCGAACGCGGTCTTCCACCTTTGTTATCTGCTGCCAACTTCCCCGTAGAATGATATTTGAAACATAGTTTTGATACGGTCCATTTTTTTACGCAATATTTATCACAAATACTTTTTTGTGACATTCCACTTACGTTATCGCCAATAATTTTCTTTCTTAGTTCCAATCCAAGACTGTCGGGAGCCATTTTTGCACTCGAAGTCATAAAAATAATAAAAATAAATAATCACGCTTCTCAAGGCTTACCGTGTTACATTTACCTTGTGATAATACAATAAAGCTCTGTGGAACACAACGTCTGGATACTTCCTTCAACTATTAAAAAACTTCTGTGATGTTGACACGGACCAGACTTAAGAAAATGAAGCAAACCAAAAAAATTGCATTTGTTTTGTCTGCTGCAAAATGGCACTTGTCAACGAAATTCTGCCTGTGTGCTGTCGCCTGTCAGCTGATTACTCATGTCATGGCATGACATGAGCAATGAACCCTAACCCTGACTCCAGACTCCTGAACTGTTTGCTGTGGTAGTATAGTTTTTTTCATTTTTAAGACATGTAAAATTAGGAACGCTTTTTAGCATTGTTTGATGTTGGTTGCAAATGTTTTGTCCAATACTGTATGTTATACAGATTTCCAATATAATGTAATGAAATTAAAACCTTTTGTAAAATATAAAGATTTTTTTTTTAAATTATTAAAAAATAAATCTTTTTATTATTATTATTTTTTTAATTATTTATTTAAAATATTAATAAATTTTGTTTACAGGTTTATTTTATCTCTTTCTTCATGCAAGAATTGCTTAGTAATAGATGATAGTTTACGCATTTTACCAATTTCATCACAATCTTCAAATATAACAGCTATGCCACCAAAAACCAAAGTAAGTTTTTTTTAGTACAAACATTCCTCGGTTTTTTAAAAAAGTTTTCTGATTAGATTACAGTTATAAACTTTTTTGCTCTTATTAAATCAAAGTAATATAATGTACATAAAATACATTTTTGTGAGTATATATATATATATATATATATATATATATATATATATATATATATATATATATATATATTATATATATATATATAATATATATATATATATATATATATATATATATATATATGTATATGTATATATATATATATGTATATATATATATATATATATATATATATATATATATATATATATATATATATATATATATATATATATGTATGTATATGTATATATATATATATGTATATATATATATGTGTGTGTATATATATATATGTATATATATACATATACATATATATATATTTATATATATATATATATATATATATATATATATATATATATATATATATATATATATGTATATATTTAAAACTATTTAAAACTATTTAAAAATATATATGTATACACTTAAAACATTAATAATTACATTAATAATTAGTTAATAAAACTCTTTGTTTCTGTTTAAGCATAGTTTTTTCATAATAAGCGTTGTTTTTGATATGTGTTTTGGTGGTTAGAGATGTTTCTATTGCTATTTTCAGGTATTGAATGTCAACAAGAAAAAATTAATTTAATAATATATTTGGACATTCTTGCAGTAGACCAAAGAACATACCAACCAAGGATGATGCTTTTCAAACATATCTATATATCAGAAAGAATTCACCTGGTCCATCAGATTGTTTAATCAATAAAATACTAGCTTTAAGTATTATGGGTAATTCCACATCAAATCACCGAGTCCATTGAACCATTTGTCTTCTTTTTGTTTTATATAATAACATGCTATTCCTATCATAAAAAAATATTGCATGCAAAATTTCAGCTGAAAATGTTTAGCGGTTGACAAGATACTGCAATTTTAATATTGACTTGCTTTCCCAAAATGACCTGGTTTTCATAACATTTTAAAAAAACATTTTTCTTAAAAAATTAAGAAATAAAAATGGCAAAAATATGAAAATAAACATATTTAATGTTTTTTTGATGCTGAATTCAATAAATGTACTTAAAATGCTGAAATATAAAAGGATCATGCCTAACAGTTAATAAAACACCTAGTTACTGTAAACCAACTTTGGGGCCCAATATCTCAAAACACCCCCGTCAAATTTTTTTTTTTTTTTTGCTGTTAATATTTTCAGCTGCTTATAATCTTACTAGGCACAAAATATCTAACTGGAAAAACAACTGGAATATAACGAACTTTAATTTCAAAAATGTATTAATTTTTAAAGAAATTCCTAAAAAATATATTTAAATAAAATAAAAATAATTAAATTGTAAATAAGTAAAGATTTTTAAAGATATCAAAGATGTAAGTTATTTTGACTGTGTTTGCTTGTGAAAATTGTGGAAACATTAGATATTTTTTTATAAATATATAAAAATAATAAAAAATATTAATATTTTTTTATTGTGTGTAAAATACTTTCCAGCCATACAGAAAACCAAGTGACCACCCATTATACATCAATGCAAGTTCTAACCACCCACCTAGTATTATTAAATCCATACCATCTATGATATCTAACCGTATTAGCAATATTTCATCTAGCATGGAAGTTTTTGAAATAGCATCACCATTTTATAACAATGCGTTAACAGCAAGTGGGTATAATGAAAAGATTAGTTTTCAAAAAAACCTCACCTCATCAAAACCAAAATCAAGATCACAAAACATTATTTGGTTTAATCCTCCGTTTTCACAAAATGTAAAAACCAACATCGCAAAAAATTTTCTAAATCTAATTGAAAAGCATTTTCCAAAAACACGAAAGTTTCGAAAAATTTTTAATAAGAATAATTTAAAAGTTAGTTATAGCTGTCTTCCTAACATCACCAATATTATTAATTCACACAATAAAAAAATATTATCTAATGTTTCCAACTCAATTGTTCCAACATGTAACTGCCGGCAACCTTCTCAATGTCCTTTGCACGGTATGTGTCTCAGTAAAAATATAATTTACGTCTGCAATGTAAAAACATCACCGCAGGATAGTGGTCTTAATTATATTGGTCTAACGGAACACACCTTTAAAGATCGCTGGTACAAACATAAAAATTCTTTTCAATACGAAAGTAAAGCTAACACCACAGAACTTTCGAAATATATCTGGGAAATGAAAAAAAGGGATTTTCAAATCCTATTCTTACGTGGAAAGTTATTGATAGGGCGAAACCATTTAAACCTGGAGGAAAGTTATGTAACCTTTGCTTAACCGAAAAATACCATATCATTACCAATCATCTTTAAAACTACTGAATAAACGAAATGAACTAATATCAAAATGTCGCCACGAAAAGAAATTTGTTATTTGCAACTTTAACATCATCTAAGCTAACACTGTATTGTATTTTTGTATATAATTTTTGTTGTTGTTACGGTTGTTTGTAACGTCTGATGATCGCATAAAGCGTGAAACTTCGAGTTATGTTTCAAATCTAATTGTATTTATTTTATATATATATATATATATATATATATATATATATATATATATATATATATATATATATATATATATATATATATATATATATATATATATATAGATTGTATATATATAAATATCTATAAAGAAAACTAATAATGTATATATATATATATGTATATAATAATGTATATATATATATATATAAAAATATGTATATATATATATATATATATATATACATTATTATATACATATTATATATATATATATATATATATACATTATTATATACATATTATATATATATATACATTATTATATATATATATATATATATATATATATATATATATATATATATATATATAAATATATACAGGCCTCAGCAGGAAGCGAGAGCTTCAGCTCTTGCTCTCCCCCTAAAATAATTTACGGGAGTAATTTACGGCTTTCGCAAAAGTATAATTTTTTCTCTCCAAAGTTTAATTATCATTGTAACTAAAATAAAAAACGCAGTCATTTTAATAATTATCTTTAACCATTCCTAAAATCCCTGCATTCTATTACAATAAAAAAATATAAAACTTTTTTTATAAGCAATAAAAACAATGCTTGTCTAAAGAATTTAGAGAAGCAGCTCAATTGCCATGTTCAATTTTAGGAGAGCTTTTCACCGCTCATTCATTTTTTCCTGCTGAGGCCTGTATATATATATATATATATATATATATATCAAATTTTTAAAATTTAATTAAAACTTTACCAATAAATGTTGCTCTATAACTGAACTTTCACAAAATATAGTTGTCAAAATTTTAAAAGCAAATGCACTTCAATATAACACCTAATCAGTTTTTAAAAACAAACAGGATGTTTTTTTCAGTTGTTAAGATCAAATAACTAATTTATATAATTAAGACTTCCTTAAGTATAACAAAATTGTTTTGTTTTTTTCTTCTAAGGAGTCTATAATATAAATTTAATATTTAACAGAATTCTATTTGCAAATTTTTAAACTAATTTATTGAAAATTTAATATATCTTTGAAATTAAAGTTCCATATGTTTCAGTTGTTTTTCCAGTTAGATATTTTGTGCCTAGTAAGATTATAAGCAGCTGAAAATATTAACAGCAAAAAAAAAAAAATTGACAGGGGTGTTTTGAGATATTGGGCCCCAAAATTGGTTTATAGAAACTAGTTGTTTTATTAACTTTAAAGCATCTTCCGTTTATATTTCAGCATTTTAAGTACATTTATTGAATTCAGCATTAAAAAAACATATATGTTTATTTTGCCATTTTTATTTCTTATTTTTTTAAGATGCAACAGCCAAAGAAGTTTTAAAAAAATTTGAGGAACCATGGTTCAAAATTTCTTAATTTTTGGGTGATTTGATGCGGAATTACTCTTATTTCTATTTGGGAAAAAGCTGGTATACCAACCGATGCTTTCAACAGTATTTTTCAACAGTGTTCAAAGCTATCCAAATTGGTAAATGCTGCACAAAGATTTCTAATAAAATTTAAATGATAAAAGAATGTCAGCCGCAGACAGTTTAATGTTGTCTTATTTAGAGGTTTTTGAGAAAGTGCTCTTGCAAATGTTTTAATAACAAAAACAGAAATTATAAATAATGTCAATGTTATGTCAAATTTCCATTATTAGAATGGTTTTTTTGCCTTGATTAAAAAGAATTAAGGAATATGACAATTACTAATATATGCAAAAACAATATAAAGAAGTTACAAAGAAAATTTGACAGAAAGTCGAACAAAGTGGGTCATATTACAAAAAGGTTAGTGTAGTATTAGCTTTCTATGATAATAAAATGTCAAAAAAATCATCAGCTAAAATATGTTAAGAAAAGTTTATATATTCAAGTAATGTCAAGATGACAAAGAATTGTTTAAATCAAGTACTGTCACAAATTAGTCATAAGTATCCAAATTTGTGCCACATAATGGAATACATTGATATATCGAATAGATATGGCTGTCAATCAGTCTTCTTGCTCTTCTAAATGAAACTTTGCTGCTAATATTTTAAAGTTTGGAATCAAAATATTCAAAACACACCAACAAGAATAGCAGATTAATTTTTGCATTAGATTTGAAGAGAAAGTTGATAAAACAAAAAATAAGAAAGTGTTTTAAAGAAAGACACTTCCTTTATTTTTTAAATTGTCTTAAAGAAAGAATATTATTGCTATTGTTGTTTTTCCTGGTAATAGATAAATTGACCATTTTACTACTCATTCAGAGGATTGATGCATAGGAAATAATTTCTGCTTTGTAAAATAGAAATTCTATAAAATCTCTGCTAGCTTTAAGTTACAGATGGTACTAATGTAAATACTCGTAATAAAATCATTTAAAACCATTGCAGTGGCTAATATGTTAAATGGATTGTTATGAGATTTTATTTAGAAAAGTGTTCAAACTGATAGATGGTTTAAATACAGGACCAATAACATTTAGAGGTGAATTAGGATTCAATTTGATGTTTGAATATTTACTTCAAATCAGGGGATTAGTTGAATCAAATCAATCAGGGGGTTAGTTGCACTATTAGTTTTGAATTTAGTTAAAAAGTGTTGCTAGCATCAAAAATATTTGCTTCTTGCTTTTCTAAATTCAAAATGGTCTTTATTTGACACAGTAAAGAGATTAGTAAAATTTGACAGCTTTTTGTTTTTTGTTTTCTCTTATACTTAAATTTGTGTATTTGTGTCTGAACTCATTTCTACAGTAGTTTTACATTTTTGTGACTGTTTATGTCTTTTGTTTGTATTCATAGCTGATGACCAGGCATGAAACTTTAAGTCTCACTTATCAGTTGCCTTTATTCATCTAAATTATATATATATATATATATATATATATATATATATATATATATATATATATATATATATATATATATATATATATATATATATATATATACATATATATATATATATATATATATATATATATATATATATATATATATATATATATATATATATATATATATATATATATATATATATATATATATATATATATATATATATATATATATATATATATATATATATATATTAAACTGCTGGTTTAGGTGAGCAGTCTGACATAATACTGAAATAGCCTGCTGCCAGGAGCTTCAGTACATACATTGACTGTCAAATAGCCTGACTTGCAGCAGAGTGCTGCTACATCGACTGAGGGTTTGGCATGGGGCAACAACTGTGACGGGTCCAGTAATTTTTGGATAATGTTGAAATATTTAATAATAAAAAAAAAGGTCTTTAATTTGGTGAGGGGATGCATACCCTAGCCCAGGATCCATCACTGGGCAGCAATCTTTTCTTTCATTTTTCATTTTTTTTCTTCATTTTCTGAAAATGCGTATTTAATTTAGGTAACAAAATTATGGCAACAATTTGTTACATAAATATGCTATAGTAAATATATATATATATATATATATATATATATATATATATATATATATATATATATATATATATATATATATTACATATATATATATATATATATATATATATATATATATATATATTACATATATATATATATATATATATATATATATATATATATATATATATATATATATATATATATATATATATATATGCATATATATGTATATATATTTATTTTATTGAATCATTTAACTATAAGAAAATAATTTTTTAACTTCAGGAAGAATCAATGACAGCAGAGGAAGTAGAACTAAAAGAACTACAAAGTTCTTTACAAGATACACAACCAATTGGATCTATTATTAACCAATGTAAAACACTTGATCAGGTTTCTAAATTTGATTTTTTTAATTCTAAATTTGCAGTAATTTAAATTAAAGAAAATTTAGGTTTATAATTCATCACTTTTTTTTGTAAATATACTGCAAGAAAACACTGGTCAGATGCTGTTTATTTGGGTGTCATGCAAATTTAAAATTAGCTTCTTTTTGTATTTTTTATCACTGTTTTTTTATTTTTGGAAAACAAGGTTTGCACTATCAATGTTTTATGATGTTATCAGTAATGTTTTATGATATGATCAGCAGATATCTGCAAATAATAAATCATCACTTTTTAATCAATTAGAACAGGTTGCCAATTTTAAATGGTATTTTTTCTGTGATTGCGTTAGGCTGGCTGGTAAATTTTATTTTAAATGTCTTTTTTTTATCCTGCGTATAAATTGTTATTTTCTCAAATTTGTTTTTAGCCAATCATTTTTACAATAATCTTTATATCTCTTATTCATAGATGAATGGCAACTGACTGAATCACTTACTTAACATTATCTTGATTTTTTTTGACTTTGCCTGGAAATCATGTTATATGTAAATTCAGCACTAAGTTTCTATTCTTCATCTTTATAAATATCTTATTTGTCCTTGTATGAAATTCTGTTGTCATAACTGACAGAGGTCTTCTAATGATGCCCTTATAATGGCAATTACAAAAAAAGAGCAATGTGAAAAATGTTAGACTTCAGTTTTGTAACAGTTTTGTCTCTTTGTCACATTCTTGACTCTTTTTTTACTTTTTTATAAAAATTTTTTATTAAATGAGCTATATCTCATGTCCCAGTTAATACAGACTATTCTTGTGCTTGTCTCATTTTTGTCGCAACTTTTCATGGCAATAGTTTCTTTAAGCTCTTAAATTCTTTGTTTGTCTTTTTTTTTTCCCTAAATTTTTTTATTTTAGACTAATCATTGTGTCTTTCAATGAAAATTACAAAAAGGTTTTAAGACTAATTTAACTGTTATCTTTACAATATCTTTTCAAAGATAACTAATTTAAATTAGTTTTATGTCCTTTTAAAGTTGGTATAATTTTTTTAATGAATGATCCTTAACTTAGATGTTTTGAAATCTTTTGCTATATCATTTGGGGTAGTGCAAATCCGTGAATCTACTGCAGATAGATGGCACCTATCTGCACTGCTGCTAGTTTTGCATTAATAGTTTGAAACTTTTTTTATTTTTTTATCTTGGCTCATTAAATTATATGCTTTATATTATTTGGCTACATTTGTCAGATACACTGTATTATCCAATACTAGTTCCACAAATTTGCACTATCCCTGACAATATACAAATTTGTATCTTCTATAATACAAATGACATATACAAAATTTTAAAATTTGTCATTTAACCTGAAGATGTTACTTGTAATTAATGAAATATAATAAATAAATTTAAAAAGAATATAATATTTGTTTGTATATATGTGTGTATTTATGTATTAATGTATGTATGTAATGTATGTATAAACACTCAGTAAAATTAGTTCCATACTTTTTATAACATTTTCTAAACAAACTTTTGAAATACCGTTCCATGCTAGTTGGATAGAAGTTGGATAGAAGTTCTGGTATCATATTATACTGCCGAGAATTTCCGTATATAGTTCATGCCAATATTCACCATAAATTTTCAATAGGGTTCAAGGTGGGTGGAGGGTTGCTGTTTGAACTCCGGGTAATACCAAATGCATAATGGCAGAATGTTGCCATATGGTTATTTTTTTATTTTCGCCCTTTGGATAATTTTTGTTGCAATTTTCACCTAAGTTTATGATGTTATTCACTGCATGATGAGACATTTTGATTTGGACAAACCTTTCTCTTTATTAGCAACAATTTTTGCTTTTTCTTCCTCATTCAACACCCTTTCGCGTGTTATTATAATAATTTAATATCAAATGTTAATTAAAAATACACAAAGCTTTCATATAGAACAAATCAACTCAAAATCTTGCTCAAACTTCAATCAACTCTTAGTAAGTGTTTAAAACAAACTGATGCGGAACTATGGAAATTTTAAAAACATTCTAGAAAATTTAGTTTCAATAGTTTCAGAAACACATAAAACTGTTATAAACACATTTGCTTGCAATAGGTCTAATAAATATAGTTTTTTTGGTTAATTTTATAAATAACTTACACATAAAATCTCTAATAACTACATCGAACTATGGAAATTTTGCTGAGTGTGTGTGTGTATATATGCATGTGTGTGTGTACTAGTATATGTAATATGTTATTACAAGACTCTTTCTACCCATCAAAAGAGACTTTTAACAACATATTATATACTTGTATATATATACACCTCATGATTGTGAGGTTCAAATTTCTCACTCAAGCGATATAAATGTTTTTATTTATGAATCTAAAAGTCTGTGTTTTTGAATCTATAGGTTAAGTCTGTATTTTTGAATCTATAGGCTAAGTCTGTGCTAAAGTTTATTGAAGTAATATCTGAAAAAACGTTACGAAGTACAGTTACTTTAACAGCTGCTCGTGGTAGAGGAAAGTCAGCTGCTATTGGATTAGCTCTGGCTTCAGCGGTTACGTTTGGGTAATTTGTTTTATATAGATAAATTTATTAAGTTATTTAAACATTTATAATACTCTTTTTTATATAGTTTTATATGGTAATATGTTTTTTTTTTCTTTAGCTATTCCAATATATTTGTTACTTCTCCTAGTCCTGAAAATTTAAAAACATTATTTGAGTTTATATTTAAAGGTTTTGATGCACTTAATTACCAGGTAAATTTCTTAAACACTTTTTTAAAAATTTTGTTACAACTTTTTTACAAACATTTAAAAAAATCAATGTGTACAATAAACATGTGTCAATTCTAAATATGATAATATGAAATGCTTTATTTGTTTGTTTGACATTTATTTATGATGTTCATGTTTAGTACAAATAGCAAGCATGTCTATTGTACTAATCATAAACAATATATTTATATAAATATACATTTATTTTTATTTTATAATTAAATATCATAATATTATAGTTAATATATTTTTCCATCTTACCAGACCTTGTTAAGATTTTCTTCCATCTTAGTTTTATCTTTTTAATTCTCGTGATTTTACGTAGAAGTTATTGATTTTTGGAACCATAATTATAAAGTTATAATTTAAAGTTTAATGATATGTTAAATAATTAGTATTTTCTAGTTTTAGCTGATTTTTTTGTCTTATTTAACATTAGCATTAAACTGCAAAATAACTTTAGAAAAAGTTTTAAAAGATTTGAATACCAAAAAAAAAAAGGCTAACAATAAATATAAATTTTTATATAAGTATATATTTTTACCATAGGAACATCTAGATTACGAAATAATTCAGTCAACAAATCCAGATTTTAATAAAGCTGTAGTCCGTGTGAATATTTTTCGAGAACATAGGCAAACTATTCAAGTATAATTTGTTATTTCTTTTGTTATTTAAGTTTATTTATAGTAGATTGTTTTATATTGATTGTAATTAATACTTTTTTAATTATTTAAATTTTTATTTAGTATATTTCACCTACTGATCACCATAAACTTGGTCAAGCTGAACTGCTTGCCATTGATGAGGCAGCAGCTATTCCTCTACCATATGTTAAACAGTTAATTGGACCTTACTTAGTATTTATGTCTTCAACCATAAATGGGTAATTTTAAAAATTTGTCTGTTTTATTAAATTATATATTCTTGCATACTTAAGTTTGCACTGCTTGAATATTTTTCACCCTTTAAGTTTAAGGGTCAAATGGCTAAGATATGTATTTATTTTGTTTAGTGGAATATATTTACATTATTATAAAAATAATTTTTTAGAATTGTTTACTTATGCTTTTTTTTTTAAATAAAATTTTATCAGCAATTTTTACTTTCCCCTCTCCTCCTCCTTGTCAACAAATTGTCAAACTTCCCCTCCCCCCCCCTCCGCCCAAAAAAAAAACAAAATATTCAACAAGAACTTTTTTTTTATTATTTTTTTTTTCAAAGTTTTTTCATCGCTCAAGTTTCTTTGGTTAAGCTTTTCCAAAATCAATTCTTTATTTACACCACCTTATTCTTGTGAGTTGCTGTTGCAGCTGTTAGAAAATACATGTTGAGAGATCAAACTAAAACCTGCATTAACATCAATATTCCTCAAAACTAAAATCATTTTAACTGTAATTGAAAAAAAAAACAATTTTTAGAATTTTTGTTGAATGTGTTGGTAAGTTAATGGTAGCTAAACTTTATTCGTGGTAATTAAACCTTAGATTGGTTCTTACCCAACGATTCTTACTTGAATAATTATAAAACTGTTTTCTCAACTCTGTAGTGTTTATTAACCCTTAAACCTTTTTCAAGAGAAACACAGAGTTCTTTTGCAATACTTACGCAAAATTCCTTCATGATCATGTCTTTTATCATCACTATCTGCAGTTTTATTCTTTTCAGCATTAAGTCTTCTATACAAAATGAACACATTTGTTACAGTCATGTCCAGAAAATGATAGAAGATCCTGGTTGTCATATGCTGAGTTTTAATTTTGAGTCCATTGCAATCCAAATAAGAGTCCATTAAATCAACACCACCCATATGTGCGTTGTATTCTCTGATAATTTGTGGACAATCAATTTCATCATATGAACTTTTTTTTTTATGACGTTTTTATCGCAACTTCACCCTGTGGTGTTGACATAGTAGCTTTTGTTTGTAGTTCGTGAAGTGCTGGAATAGCATCTTCATTTTGCAGTGTCGTACTCATATCTTTGTTTGAAGTTACAGTTTGTTTTGGTTCATCAATTTCACTCAAATTGAAATTGCTAACATTCATTAAAAAATAAAGTGCTTTTGTAAGCGTGAGGAATCCATTAGCTGTAAACAACTGTTTATTATGGTACTATGTTCAGGTTGAAGCTCATCACACTGATATTCTGGATCTTTGAAACTGTTGTCAAAATCCAGTAGTTGGAAATTATTGTTTATTGTTGTATTAGGTTCAGGTTGAAGCTCATTACAATGATAATCTGGATCTTTGTAACTTGCAGATACTAGCTGTTGTTTTAAATGTATTCAGAGTATTTTTAATGCGATTTCCTGAAATTTTAAATCTTGGTGCTATTTCTCTGGTACTGATCATGGAGCCATCTTTCATACCTATAATTTGCCACATTTTTGTGAACTGCTTTTCAGTTTCTGTGTAACTTAAATTTTATACTTTATTAAAATATTCAAAAAGGTTTTAAATGTGACTAAACTTGTTATCAATGGCAATTTTATACTTTTATATGTTATTATATAATTCAATATTTAAACTTTTTTTACTATTTTTTTATTTTAAAATTATTTATTTTAAATATCATTTATTTATATACATATTAATAGTACTTTAAATATAGTTATGAAGGTACTGGTAGATCTCTGTCATTAAAATTAATCGAACAGCTTCGTTCACAAAGTGTGTTAAATAAGAGTACAGACACTGGAGTAGTTTCAAACAGTACACCTGCTGGTCGTGTTTTACAAGAACTTTCTTTAAATGAATCCATTAGGTATGCCAACAATGACCCTGTTGAAAAATGGTTAAATGGTTTACTTTGTCTTGATGCTAGCATTGTTCCAAGAATTAACTCTGGTTGCCCACTTCCAAAAGATTGTGATTTGTATCTTTTTCTACATATTTGTTAAATATTTATTATCTGTAATATC